GAGCATCCCCGTCGAGGAATAAATCAGAAATGACATGTGAGTCATGCTATACGCATGTTGCGTGACTGCAACCCGCATTAAAGAGACAAGTTATGGCACAGATCAGAACGTATTAACTCAGCTCGGTGTTCAGTGATCTGGACAGGCGAGCCTTGATAGAACAATATCAGCTCAGAGCAGAAGGAACCTGATGAATCTTGATGTCATGAAAATCAATGAGCTGGAGTTTGGATTTTACTTATTTTCTTCTGGTGTAGAGAAAATCTGAAGCTGAGACCTGCCTCAAAGCTGAAACCATTGATCCACTTGAGGTTAATATTAATATCAATGGGGCAAGTGCTTGTGTGCGATGTGTGGAATCAGTTCGACCATAGATATGTGTGTTTTGTCTGTGTCCACACGTCCACCTCTCCCTGATATGTCTGAGGCCGGTCCAACTCTTTAACACCATCTCGGAGTCTAAATGGCTCCATGACCCTTTCACCACATCGGCTCTGTCAGAGTTAGAAAACAACTTGGAGATTTATTTTATTTTGTTTTGGAACTTTTCTCACCAGAGAGTCACAGTGTGCAGCTCCACAGTAGGCTCCTCTGGCTGGGTGCTGGATAAAAACAGACCTGAAGCACAAACAGAAAAATGAATTCTCTCTCCGGTACCAAGCTCCCAGTCGTTATTTACAGTGTTTCGGTCAACAAGGCCTTTATCATGCAAATCCAAATGTAACTTTGCAGAAAGGGTTTGGCAGCTTGACTCCAGCATGCAGATATATTTGTTAGATATTTGATCAACATTAGACAATTTCCTCTAGACCAAAACTCTGTGCTGTTACAAACAAACCCCTTAATCATTAAAAATCTCTTTGCCATATTTTGGAATAGACGGTGTGTATAAAAATTAATCTAGCTCACAGCTAACAACAGTCTGCATGGGTTTTCTCCAGGTTCTCTGACTCCCTTAGATTGTCCAAAGACGTGTAGATTGGGGATTAGGTTGCTGTCCAGGCCGGGTGAACCCATCCTCTCACCCTAAATCAGATGGGATTGGCCCCTCAAAGGTTAAGTGGTTGAGAAAATTGATGGATGGATGAATGGATAGATCTTACCTTCTTCTTATCTTGCCCACACATTGATTTATTTAAGGTCACTGCTACAATCTCAACACTTACCACCACATGCAGACACAGTGACAACATCTGTAACATCAAACTGGGTAAAGCAATATATTTTGGTCTTACTGAACAAAAATAAAGTACATGTTAATTTGCATATAGAGTGGGAAAGTGAGTTACGACCACATGTGGTCACAGGAGACTCATTCAGGACACGTTTTAACACCTGGTGTGAACAGACCAACTTAGCGATAACCAGTTGTGATCGGATCCTACAGGACGACCATTATTGCCAAGACTCTTTTTTTTCTTCGACTGTGCTCTCAGTATTGTTTGGTAACAAGCTACGCAGCACGTTTATTGTGTAAAAAAGTAATTAGTCAAACTTCAGAAAGGTTACAGTGATTCTGCTTAAATCAGTCGTATTGCTATTCCTCATACCTCTGCTGCTGACATCAAATATTTAGTTGCATTGGGCCTAGTTCTTTCAGAATTTGTTTACATCATACACCCGCAAGGCAAACATCTATTTTCCACTGTGAGTGAATAGGAATAGAGGTCGAATCATGACCGTTTTAACACAAATCTGTTGAATTTTAAAAGTTGAGTAAATGCAGAAACCTTAAAAATCAAAAAAAGTTCAAATGTGGTTAAAGTATCAAAGTTTGAAAATATAGTCAGAAAAATTCATGAGACTGGATCGAGGCAATCTCATCCTTAGTCTCTCCACTCGGGTCTCCATTCTTCTCCCTCCACAATACTCACTCGGTGACCTCTGTGACCTCGGCTGGCCAGTTATTCCTTCTGCTGATCCTCGCCTCTTTACCCCCCCTCATCTCAAAACCTGAGCATTACCCCCTTTTTCACGCCAGTTCCTCTTTATCTCTCTTCTCATCTCTACATCCACATATCCATTTTAACCAAGGCAGCAGACGTGGCTGTGTGTGGGAGAGTGGATCCGTATAAGACCACGCTGTGTGCTGTATGTTTGACGGACAGCAGGGGCTCCCGGTTCACACTGCTCTGACTTAATGAAACTGAGAGGAAATGTTCTGGCTCTACAATGGTTTTCTGACTATGTACTCGCTCATGAGTGCTCCACTGTCCACGCTTCAGACTCAACATCAGTCACAGTAGGAAGTCAGTTACCTTGACAGAAGACATCTTTGTGTTATTGTGCACTCGTATAACTTCTGCTTTAATTACAATGTTAAATGTTTCCCATAATGTCTGACTAATTCCAAGCAAGTGGATTATAAGAATGGCAATTGCGTTCTACTTGCATGTTCATGACTGTGTCTTTTTGTGCTTCCACTTTGTTGTTCACCCAACTTTTCCATTTAGCTTGTTTGGAAGTCATGAACAGTTTGGTTGGATGCATTTCATCTTATGCCTGAAAAGCAAAGTTGTCAAGCTGTTATATTACATTCATACCAAATGTTATGTGAAGCATTACTGCAGTACTATTAGATACAAAGTCAATGGAAAGCCTCAGGTATCGTCTTCTTGCAGAGAAGACAATAAAGATTGTGTGCACCTCTGGATGTGCTTGTGGACCGATGCTGATTCACTGGAGAATATTTGCACTTAACTTGCGTTGCTAGATACTAAACTGCCGTTAATTCAGTCTGGACCATGTTCTGTCTCCACCTTTTAAGTGTCATTGAAGATCTGTTTACTTGAAGGGCACTCAGCGCATTCCTCCACCAAGGCCTGACAGTCTCCTTACATTAAATGAAGTAGCACCAAATTGCACACACTCATAGATATTCCCTAAGTTTCCTAATTAGGCCTGATTTTTTTTCCCGTCTGAAAATCCATGAATTATAATTTGGGTAATCGGTCAAAATAAAAAATGCATCCTGGATCCACACCAAAATATCAGGCTTGGCTATGTCCCATCCCTACACCAAGTTTAGTGGAAATCTCTTTAAATGGACAGGGGCAATAAAGATTCTAAAATATAGAATAAAAGCAACTAGTCTGTTTTTGGTACAAACCCTAGTGGCTATGTGTTACAAAACTGTGCTTAAATATTACATCACAGAGCACTTACTGAGTCAGAATATTTGTTATTGATAATATACAAGAGATTTTTTGCGGAAAAATACAAATTTGAGTGAAGAAAAAAATTTCACAGCATGTGGTTTGTCAGAATCAAAATCGGCGAGTAAACTCTGAGATGTCAGTTCCACTGTTGTCCTTTCAGTGTTTCCTGTTGAGTGGTGAACACCTGCAGTGCGAGTTTTGATTCAAAAAGGCGGAGAGTGATACAAATTCAAATAAAAAAGAACATTTGCTTCGTTTTGTATGCAGAGCTATTCATGGGGCGCAGTTGAGCCGTCAACATGAATGAAGAAGTGGATGTGTGAAGAATGAACAGAATAGTATTTCTTTTTTGGGACTCTCACAGCTCTGCCTGCAGTCCCGCTGCAGCAAGCCCGGGCTACTCTCAGCAGCGGTGAATTGCCGTAGCGTCAGAATTTCAGGGCATTACAAAAATATTTGTATGACTCCGGTGTTTGGAGCTCTCTGACTCTGTCTGATATTTTGAGCAGCGCTTTGAAGCGTGCGGCAGCCTTAATGATTCAGAGAAAAGAGGAGGGTGAGGACAGGTGATGAAAAGTGAAGAAGAAACAGAGAGTTGGGCAGAGAGGTGACAGGGAGGCTAAAAGCAAACAGCATTGTCCTTGTGACCTCAGTGGAATCCATGCAGTGATGTCCACTTACACAATCTCTTTATACATTCATCACACAGACACACACACTGTACATCCACAGTGCAAGTATGCATTATTGTACTTATGGATTGGTCAAAGACATCAGCATGTAGATCGCTGTAGTGTCAACATTGTTCTTTGTGCATACACTCAGTAGCCTGTCTCAGCACTTTGGATTTCACCCCCATGTCAATAGTACTCCTCCATCGATGTGACTAATTAGATTTCTCCCATTGCAAAAATGAAGTTTGCATTGTATCACCTCTTGCTTTTTGTCAAAGTCATGCTATTATACATGATAGCAGGCCTGCACAGGTGGTTGTGTTTATTGCTTGGTTCCTTTTAAATTAGATTCTTCAAAATTTCCATCCACAAACTCTCGCACGCAGGAGTTGAACTGCTCAAAAATGCCTCCGGTACTGGAAAAGTCACAACATCCAACCTCGAGATCTTAAAATACATAAGATACACAAGATTTTATTTCATTTGACTTCAAGACTACACTTGCAAAGCAGCATATCTACATATAACTACACTTCTCGCAGTTTGTAGTTAGCAGCAAAAAGTTGAGACATTAAACAGTAGAAGAAAAAGAATGGATGTTAATGGACATTTCAGTGTTTCCCGCAGAAAATTAGTCAGTCAAGGTGGTGAGCGGCAGGGGGGGGCGTGGCACCGCAGTTCCCACGACGACGACAGGCATGCTATCCGGTTGTCGGATTTAGCTTCTTTCCCGATAAAAAAGAAATGTTGGCCTTGCCACGCAGCAGATGATAGATGGCTTAACATATTTAACCTACAGATGCCGCTATTCCGCCTCATTGCGATGCGGCCTTATTTTAACCTACTGTCTATGCATGCGGGGATGCGGAATATTTATTTATTTATTTATTTATTCAAGGCGGGGGGCCGTTGTTGTCAAGGCGGCCGCCTTAACTATAAAGCGCTGCGGGAAACCCTGTATTTATATATACTTTACAGTGTCGACTAAATTAATCAACTGAAGTAATCATTCTCTCCATTTAATTGCATCAACTTTTGCAAGTTTTACCTAATAAACTGGCAACTGACTTTATATTGTGATTGTTGCCCAAGTGTTCTCTTGTGTAATCTGATCCCCCCCTTAGTTGTGCTCCTGTTTTCTCTGTCCTCTGACTGTAGTGTTGAGGAAGAGAGAGCACTGAACCATGTTGTCATGCTGCACTGTTCGCCGCTCCCATGGTGCAACACTGCAGCGAGTTGCAAACAAAGTTCATTCGGCTGACGACATCTGCCTCTAAAACCCTTACAAGACGATGCCAGCAGGTGAGGAGTGAAGAGAAGTGTGTAACGTCATGTTGAGGTTAACTGAGGTGTCCCACAGCTCAAATTGAAGAAGTGGTATCATTGATTTTTGTCTGGTTACATTTGTTTGCATAGAAGGATTATCATCATTATTTTAGATGGAATGAAAAGCAGGGTTTGTTTTAGAATAAAACAGAAGATTATCTTCACTCTTTGAAAGCAGCTAACATAAACTCATTTTTTGTTTTGGAGGAAATTGGATAAGCTGTGATTTATAATGAAAAGGTGACACCATAAGCCACAAATTAATATCCTGTTTCTTTAAATAAAACAAATATTGTAGAAAAAATAGAAATAGAAAAAAGAAATTAAAACGTACTCCCTTGTAAACACATTTTAAATGATCATACCGAAAAACCAAAATGGAGGGTGTCACTGTCTCTGGGTCACCTCGTCTGATGCAGGCAGGCAGCCCACTCCATCTTCACTCAGCACAAGTTCGAGCCACCCCCTCCAGTCACTGGCTGAGCCTGGCGGGAGCCTGAAGCTCTTGGAGAGCCTCCAGGGAGATTTGGCCAAGACAGAAGCTCAGATTCCTCTCATCCATGAACAGTTTGCTCTCCTGGAGAAATATGAGATCCCAGTGAAACCGGCTGTAAGCAGCTCAATGATTAATAAAAACGTGTGCACTCACACTGTATACAGTAAACATGCTCTGGATATAGATCAGACACTGCAAAATGATACTAAATCAACACCATGATGTGATATTAACATTCACGATAAGTGGGTGAAGGCGCTTTGAATTACTATTTTATATTAGTTACAGAGGACACATTAAAGTGCCTGTCATACTTTGTGCTGCTGATCTTAATAATTGTGCAGGGACGGAAATGCTCTTTGATGAATAGGATAATAGAACAAGAGAAGAATTTGTTTCTGTAAACACAACATTATTTCACCTTCATTTTAATCAGGAATAAGCTTTGAAAGGACTTTTTAAAAAATCAATTTGCACTTGAGCATCCTAAGATTCAAATCCTACAAATCTTTTCTTTCCCTCGCAGCTTCAGGACTTATGTATGAAGTGCTGGATGGGCAGTGGCTAGTGTGGCTCCAGCATGTGTTGATTGACAGCTACCACGTTCTGGGAACACGAGAAGTTCAAATCCAGCTTTATCGTCTCTTGTTCAAAAAGAAGATCACGATGACAGGACAGGTAAAATACTATATCTCTTACCCACACACACAAACATGTATAGTTCCATCATAAGCCATTTTCAGACAGGAACTCCTGAAAATGTCTGTACAATGGGGTGAGTGCCTTTCACATATGAGGAACGCAACAGGAGATTGTCTGGTGAGGGGCGTTCACATCACCATCAAAATCTGTGATATAAAAGTGATATTTCCGCTGCGGGAATCGCAGGTTTTTGTTTGTTTTTTTTATGTTTGCATCCGTCTCATTTTAAAAAATTTCCACACGGCCTATTGCTCTCCGTGATTCCTCCAGAGAACCTCTGGTTGTTTATCTCATATGGGCTCACTTGGACATTACCCAGAGGTTTTACTGGGGGTCTGGCTGAGGAAACCCCAGAGAACGTTAACAGCATCTGCCTTAGACATTTGCGTCCTCACACACAGCTCCTCCGGATAATGTCAGGAGATTATCTGGAGTTCAGTGCCTGTCTGAAAGCAGCTATAGACGTGTGTCAACAGAAAAAAACAACATAGATTGGCTCAGTAAGGTGCTGGGCCACCATCATCCTGTGAAATTGTTTGATTGCATGTTTTTCTACTCATTTAGAGTAGTTGGGTTTTAGTAGGCAGCTCTCTTATCTCTACAGTGTTCATACATTGTTGTAATATCCATCTTTATAAGTGCATAGGTATATTTTTTATCTGCATGTAAGTCATAATTTCTATATGCATTTGTGTTAATGTGCCAATGGTAGTGGACATCAGTCAACACTCACAACCAAGAGACGAGATAAGTTTTGCAGATAATTACATTTTGACACGTTTACATTACACACTGCAAAATGATTTGAAGTGAACTAAATGCGGTAAATCAGGTAAATCAAACAAAGAATTTGTATTACCTTCATTAAAAGCACGCGGGCACATGTGTTTGTACATATGTCAATGTGTGTGCTGCTGCTGTTGCTTCAACACAATCACTCAGAAAATGTTCTAATCTTAATTGACGCATGGATTTATGTTAGGGGCATGTCTTTTCTCTGGTCTTGGGTGTGTCTGTGTCTGTGTGTGTGTGTGTGTGTGTGTGTTTGTGTTTGTGCGTACACTTGCACGTTTTGTACTTGTCCATCTGTCCCATCCCCAAAAGACCAGATGACTCAGCTGGTGATCTGCATGTCTGACATGATGCAAGGCTTCAGCCTTGACTGGCCCTGTGGGTGGTCATGTCCCTGAATGGCAGAGCAGCAGGCTACAGGCATTTCTCTCCACCTCCACTCCTCCACTCCTTTCTTTATCTTCTCGCACTGTGTCCCTCTGTTTTACAATGTTTTCATTCTGCTGCTAAGTGGATTAACATGGACAGGCAGAACTAACAAGTGTCACACATATGGTGAAATACTTTTACATTGGACTTATTCAGCTGGTTTGTTCTGCATCACACACAGATCATTTTTACAGACATTTTCTTTATGGAACTGGGCTTTCAAAAACTTCTTCTCACTATACGGTGAAATTTCCTCATCCACACCAGGAATATACTTTGGTGGAAATGTGCCACCAGGACCTCACTCTTGTTCTGACTGAGTGTTCCGCTCTCTTTTCCTCTGTCCCCACTGAGCTATTACTGATCTATAAGGCCTCATCAGAACCAATTGTCTGTATCGAATGTGTTCCTGCTCCTGATGATTTTTGATTACACAATCACAGATCCAGCTTTTTGAACCGTCACTGGTACACATACCTTGGCTTTTGGTGTCAGCAGATAATAAATACTGAGCCAATAGAGTGTTTAATTAATAAGATATATGCCTCATAGTGTTGCCCATGACTGGGATCATTCTTTTATTTATAGGGCAACATCTGGTTGTACTTAAACACTCTCTCTTTACTTTGTAATTTTTTTTTAAAATAAACTAGTTTACATAAAAAAACTATACTACTTTGAAGAGCACATAGCTCTGCTTAGACCCAAGTCCCCTTAAATTCATTCAAAATACACACAATCAAAAATATAACTCCACTAAATAAGCCTGATTTTTTTCTCCTTAGGATTCAATCGCTAGTCCCTCGGAAATTAGTTCAGCTAAAACTAACCCAAAAAAAAAGTGCCCTATTTAAGTAAAGTAAAAGTAATGAAAACAACCTTTGTCCAGATCTGCACAAAAATTGAATGGGTTCTTTCATGACGCTCGTCCCATTCTCCCACAAAAAGCAATGAAAATGAAAACGAAGACTTTTTAGTCGTGTACAACTGATGATTGCTTCCGTTAAATGAACAAAAAGCATTTAAAATGTATTCATTATGGCCTATGTTGTTGTGGTTGTTGTGGACACAACCACTGTAAGGTCGGGACAAGCGAGTGAATTGGACATTCTCCGTAGACCAGATCGTCTCATTTCAGTTCGACCTTCGAGGTTTAGACCAAGTAAGAATTCTGCCCCTTATTTGGGACACAGCTTATAAGCAGCAACTTTGACTGGAAGACAGACCTTGACTGATCCCTTGTCCCATCATCATTCCTCTCCCCCTTGCTGCCCTTTTCTTTTTTTTCTCCTCTATATTCCCCCTGTTTCCCCCTGTGTCTTCTGTCCCTTCCTCCCCTGTCCTCATATCCACCTTGTTTTGGGAACAGCTGAATGTTTACTTCATGTCATTCTCATCATCCATTCTGACTGGGCCGCTGCTGGGAGGATTTGCTCTTCTCCTTTCGCATTTTATTTGTTCCCCTATTTGCTGTTTCCATTAAAGATGAAATTGAAATCTCCTGCACCAACACACGCAGGCACACCAGCACGCACGCACGCACGCAGGCATCGTACTGCACACCGCCATGCGCGTCGACTAACAAAAACAACGGCGTGCTGTGCCGAGGCATATGAAAGAGCACAACCCTCTCGTCCTACTTTTGCTTTACCTTATTTTCATCCTTTCGCTCTAGTTCCTCACTCTCTCTCCTCACCGCCATCTCCTCTCCTTCCTGTGTAGTTGTTGTAAGTGTGAAGGGAGCAGGTGTGATCCATGTTTTGTTTTTTGTATTTTATTTTGTTCTCTACTTCATCACAAAAGACCCGACTTTTCCCCTTACCCCGTCTGGCACTTTTAGATACATTTAAAATTTCCTTACAAAAGTTTTTTTCACATATCCCCCTACTGAGTCTTCTCTGAACACTTAGAGACAAACTGCTCGACTTCCATGAAGAAAACATCTTTTCCCCTCATTTGACTTTCTCACTCCAGCTCCAACCCTGAGCCTCTTAAAGGCTGCCTCCTCTCAGTGCACGGCGTGACTTCAGAAACTCCATTTCGGACAGGATGTAGGGAGCGTTTGGGGGCATTGCAGAGGAAAACAAAGCCGGTCTTGGGCAGGTTAATGAGGCCAGGAGGCAGCTTTGTGCTGAGCTTCATCAGTATTCAACAAAGGCCTCCCTCTCTCGCTCTACCAATAATATCAGAGTCATTTAGGTTGGCCAGATCACTGTGCCTCTGTGAAGGGCGCACACACACACACACAGAGACAAAGAAAAAAAAATCTTTTGACAGTTTAATAGAAATGCAGTCTAGCAAAATGTGCACCCCCTCAATTTCTCTAATCATTACCTATGTCTCGCACTGTCTCTCTTGTTTTTAATTTCTCTCACTATATCCATCATTTTCACACTGACCTCCCTCTCTTTCTTTGATTCTCACACAAACACACAGTGCATTCAATTAAGATGAAGCAGCTAATCATATATGAATTACATTAACATCTTTCATAGCAGCTGCAAGTTATCGGTCCCTCATTAGGACGACACTCAGCTTAGCACAGGAAAGATTCCAATAACAGTAAAAACAGTAAAGTCTGTGTGTGTGTGTGTGTGTGTGTGTGTGTGTGTGTGTGTGTGTCTGTGTGTGTCTCTCCCCCAGTGGGCCTGGCAGGAACATTCTCACTATGCGTGTGTAGGCAGTGACAGTGGGTCCAGACTAAATTGGGGAAGAGGAAAAGCTGTGAAGATCATATTTCTCATGAGTCAAAGCTGTAGCACAAGTAAGCAGGGACGTGGGAGCCCTCAGTGTGTATGTGTGTGTGGGGCTCTCTGACCAAGCAGTGGCCCAAAGAGGACGGCAGGGCCCGGGCCAGCTCCTACTATAACCCTCTGTCTCTCTTCTCCCTATTTCCACCTATTTTATTTTCCCCAAACCATATTTTCACCTTTTCTCCTTTTATCACCCCTTCACAACTGACGCTCCTCTTCACCAAACTTCTCCCCAATGTTTAATATTAACCAATTTCCCCTCCATGCCCCTTTCTCCCACGCCTCCTTTCCTCACACTTCATTAGCCAAATCTTGCCGCTTTCCTTCCTTTCATTATCCTCTACCCACCCCCCAACACACACACACACACACACACACACACACACACACACACACTAGGCTGCCATTTAAACTAAACATCACATAGATTACCATCTCCACTCACAGCTCCTCCACTGTCTAATTATGTTGCAACTCTCTGAGCACGTTGTCACAGAGCTTTTAAATTAGCGAGTCAGTTTAATGTCGCAAGCACGTGTAATGTGTCAGATCAGTTTGTGTGTGTATGAAGTGTGGGTGAGAAATAATTAAGATGAGCATGTTATGATATTAGTTATTTTTGCACCCGCTCTCTCTTCTCTGTTCATTTGTGCCTCTGCTTGTGTTTCTATTTTCATAACACACACAGAAGTTGGTGTTATCCTTTCTGACTCTTTCAGTCAAAGTAGGTGTTTCATTAGTTCGTTTTGCACGGCATCTGTGTTCGCTGATGCGTTTGTGATGTGAGTGCACCTACTCATGTGTTGCATGTACAAATTATATTCAACAACATGCTGAGTGTGATGGAAGTTTTCTGGAAGCTGGTGAAAGGAGAACTCAGGCAGCAGCTGATGTGTTATGCAGAAGATTTGAATATAGACTTGATGCATCAAGGAGACCAGACAGTGGAACAATATACAAACGCTCAGAGTAACATGAGCAATTATCACCCCCCCAGTCTGAAGATGCCTCCCACAGCATCCCCATATATCTTCCTCTACCTGCCTCACCCATTTCAACAGCACATCAACGAATGGCTAGAATTGCTCTTACCCTCTATGTTACATGTAGGTGTTCACATCCTATTGGATAGTATGCATTCCTAAATCTTGATGTGTCCTTACGTCTTGCCACTAGTTTAATACGCCAAAAAGTTGGAGTTGGTGCCTCTCTATCTAGGCCATCTGAAAGTCCTTCAAGACACTTCAATGTGCTGCTGGTTGGTCCTTTATCTATTACCTGACCTTGGGTATTGAGAAGAGAGAAGGGAGTATGTATGGAACGAGGGAGGCCCTGCTCTCCCAATGTACAGATGTGTGAGAATGGTCAAAAATTCCTCAACACTGAGCAGCCTTAAAGCAAATAGTGAGCCTCTGCATAAATCTGGAACAGGAGGAGAGCAGAGTCCTCTATAGCTAACTCAACTAATGCCAGACATCTCTGTTTGTCTGTATTTATGTGAAACACATACTCGAGGACTGTTTATCTTACTGAATTTGCTGCAATTGGGACATGCAATATGCTCAATATTAATAAAATTGAATAAACAGGCAAATAGCATCTTGCAGCCAGAGGGGGTGAATTTCAAGCTGAATTTCAGAGCTTTCATTTTGAGAAGTTGTGAACTTGGGTGTGAAGATTGTGTCAATTGCTTAACAGACATCTGAGAAAATCCAGTTTTTCAGTCAAATACGGTTTTTGTTGTTGTTGTTGTTTTCTAACTTCACTCTGCACCATAGACTGCTTATAAAAAGCTTTGCACACAACACCCAGCACACAAACAACACACAACAGGGCATGTTCAAGAAAGCCCACAACCTCCATAGAGAACTCAAGGTCAGTTGCACCACAGAGTTCATGTGTGACAGCCACAGGTTAGCTGTGATATAATTCCCGGGTCAAGCTAAGTTTTGTGCAACTAAATTGCATTAGAATTAATTTGCTCAGTACAGTACAATCCTAAACTTGTACTTTGATCGCGCTCTCTGCAGAAAGCACTAAGAATTACACTTTGTGTTCTAATGGATACAAAGTTTGGTGACTCTCAGGGGACATCATTAGAAGTATTTTTAGCTTTAGACCCATAGACTCTGGCTTAAACACAGTCTACAGTGGCAGCTAAAACATTTTATAGCCGTCCCCAAGGATCCACAAAATTTGGTGCTAATATCACAAATCCACAGCTCCCCTAAAATAAACACCTCAGCATTTCCAACATTAGCGTTACAGTGAGGACCTGGTCTTTCACAGTTCCCTCTGGTCCATATCCTTGGAAGTTTGCCAATTTCTTTGAAAAAAATAGGAAATCAAGTCTGTGGAAGTTATGTAAAAATACTCGTAATTGGTAATTTAAGGTGCTTGAGTTTATGTAGTCTGTACAAAAATAGAAATGAAACTTCTTTTGATGTTTTGTTAACATTAATAAATACACTGCGTCCCACTGTCTGCAGGTGTGTAAGAAGTGTATTCTCACATTAGTAGTCTGCTTGTTCTCATGATATTTATTTTAGTGTTGTAACAGAAGTTAGCCTTGATCTGTGATTAACTTTGTAGCATGTTGCATCTTTTGTCTTTGAAAACTCTTTGAATTTGATGTTTAAGAAAATGTGGAAACCCTGGTGTTTGTCTGTTTACAGAGTTTGGAGCAGTAGATCCTTCAAGATCAAACCTGAACACTTCAAGAGGATCACCCCTCTCAGCTATGGGACACAGGTATTGGTTGATGTCACATTATCTATTAACGAATCACATGATGATCATATTTGTCTAGATATCTTATTCTTGCTGCACTGTGTCTGGAGTGCACTGAAAATCTCCCCCCTTCAAATGTTCAACTCACACTATAACTGCTGGTGATGCTGTGAAGGAATAATGATGATCTGACAAATTGATAAAAGTCTGAGAGAATAAGCTTATTACATAGAGTGGCTGCAGGTCCTTAAAAAGTCTTAGAATGGCTTTAATTCAATTTCACTAATATAAAGCCTTAAAAAATATTATATTGGCTAATTCAGTTTTGATGGGTCTTAATTTTGCATGTCACCATAAAATTTCTCTATTGTGCCAGACATAAAGAGACGTTTTCAGGTAAATTAGTGCGTGAAATCCCTTCTAGCCAGCATGTTAGCTGGTTTATAAACATGTTAAGTGGCTTGATAATAGGGGTGGGCGACATAATGTAGAATTAATATCATAGTATTTTTAGGGAGAAGCCTTTCCTATCTCATGATATCTCTATATCTCTTACTTGCTTTGTTGTCACGATCTGTTTTTTTTTCTCCACACATTTGTAATCGAGTTGGGAAAAAATATAGTACTGTAGTTTGCTTCATTATGGATCACAGAGTCGACAGAGTTTCCTCTCCTGTCTCCCCCACGGTGTCGCCGTCTAGTTTCCGACACGCCACTTATCTCTTTCAGCCTCCTCTGACACGTGATCATTGATAATTGATCGGTTAGGCTGCTCCCTTGCTTGAAGGCAGTGGTTAATAAAGCGATTATGTTCTACTTTTTAATATAATTATGCTGTTGATTTATCATGGTGATGACAGTATTGCACAATCCATGTTTTTGTGAACTATGACATAAGTGTTGACTATGACACTGGTGTACTTCCCACCCCTACTTGAGAATGAGGAGTATTGGGGGGGGGCTAAAACCAGTGTCTGGAGGAGCTTAGAAGCAAACCAGGCTAGGCACGTTTTTTTAAACTTGGGACTCTGGGGATCAAGATTGTGTTTGCTTGGATCAAGTATATGTATTTCCATTGCAAGTTTGTAAAATTGATTTCAAGTGGTATTGAGAAGGTCTTACAAAGTCTAAAGTTGAATTTTTTAAATCAAAAACTTTTTTATTGCTGTCGACATCATGATTACAATGGTTAGTCTCATGTTATTTATCTAAAGTTTGTTCAGCTCCCTTCCATCCAAGTTTTTCCTCTCAGCCTTGTTTCCCCTCATCAGTGTCTGTAGTTCTATACCCACAGCACCGTCAGCACTCTGTCCTCACTCTGGGAACATGCCACCACATTGGAAATGCACACACTCTGACTGAAGAGAAATCTCCCATGTTTTTAGTTCCAGCATCCCTGTCCTTATTCATTCTTTTCACTTTGTCTGAATTGGTTCTGGCATTACCAAAAATGTATTTTGTTCACACTCAGCACAATTCTTTTTCTCAAGAAGCAGAAAGTCAAGCAAATGGGCGGTTGACAGCGATGGGTCTTATCATCAGTGATGTAACTTTCTGAAAGAGCCTTCATCTCACTGCACTCCGAAAGTAAATGAAAATAAACAGAGGAATGGATCTAAAGCTACATCACATAACAGAGAGAGTAAAAAAAAGAGAAGGATACAAAATACATATTCCTTTGCTCGGTGTGTGATATTCATTGAGAGTAATGAAAGAGACGGATGCACACTAAGGTAGAATGATTCTTGTCTGTGTTAAAAATGGGTGGATTCGCTTTGTGGTTAATGTCAAGTGTGGCTAAGGTACCTGGGTCTCCAAGGGGTTGCCGAGTGAGAGCACTTTTGCTGTGATTAAAACAGAGGAGAACAGCCAGAGGGTGATAGTTGGCACAGATTTTGCTCCGTCTCCTCCCCCTCTATTTCACCCCTCCATCCCTCTCCTCCCAGTGCCAGCTGTCAGTTACGTCAGTCAATGTGTTAATGATGTGCCCTTACAGAGCACAGCTATACTTCTGTCATACCCATATCTCACTTGCTCTTCATAAGCTGTCCACAAATGGCCTAGTTTAGTACACTTTGTTTTTTTACGCAGGATGAGCGATTCACGAACCATTAACATTTACTTTTAAGTACATTATGATATACTACATTAATCCTGGTGCAACTTAACAAACCAGTGTTCACCCACATTTGACCAATTTCCTGCCACACCGCTGCTGACACAAGTGAACCCGAGGTTGTCACTCTCCAAACAAGAGCCAGATGTACCGTTTTACTTCCTCATTCATCACTGTGCACATGTATAGTGTTGCTGCTTTCAGTTCACCGACAGTGGTTGCTGGGACATTTATCTCTCACTTGTTCTACTTCTTTTATTAATCCTGTGAAATCTGCTAATGATGTGTGTTAGTTAAGCAGCGTCTAATGAACAGAAAGCAGGTCAAAGTGTTGAAATATTAAACATCCCACCTTACCTGCAAGGTTTCACACAAATCTTTTGACAGCTCCCTCATCCCCTTTATGTTAATTTACACTTCACTTCTGGCACATGGAGTATTTGCATGTTATTAGTCCTTTAATAATTTTAATTATACTATTTAAATGGTGTTGCCTCAGTAGTCAGTGTCACTGCTGTTACACTGTGTTCATACCATAGACTGTTTATATGCCAATTACATATTTTGTCCACTGGCCACAGCATGTGTCTAATTTTTTCGTAGACATAAAACCTATTTGATCCATTTTTGTGTATCAGGGTTCTGTCCACATTCATCAATAAATCTCTAATTTGTAAAATATTTGTGATCAACACTTAGTCTGAGGCTGCAGTTATAAAGTGAAAATGAAAGTGTCTGCTCTGTGCAGCTGCAGTCACATCACCGGATAACAAATTCTTACCGCCACATTAGAGCAGAGTTGACCAACAAGGATGGAGGTTGGGTGTAGAGACATGGTGAAAGTTTTATGGATGTTTTCAAGGTCCACCAGACCACAGACAGAAGGAGGGAGGGGAGAGAGTGAGTTCTACTTCTTAATGAGCTTTTGTGTTTTGATGAGAAAGTACCACCCATGGCATCCCTTGTATGTGTTTTGGGTACATGTCAGTTGTATTTATCAAGTAACAGTATTAATAATGCATTACACCTGTACTCAGAGGAACTGACACCTGGTGAGCTAGAAGGGAGCTTGGATCACTTCCAAAGAAGCAAATAATTAAGAAGAAATTAGAAAAAAATAAGGATGGCGATTCAGATCCAAAACCAAGAGTCAAGTCACTCGAATATGTTATGAAATAATATAAAAGCTTGTGTTTAGAGTTTGACCATCCTCTAATGAAAGCTTAATTGTGCTAAACAGTGTTAGCCTTTAACCAGTCATGTGTGTAAACTGATCATGACAATGAAATGTCTCTTTAACTCTTAACTATTTGTTATATTCATCATCTTATGAATGCTCCTTTGGCTTCAGCTGTATATTTATATTCATACTGTGACCATTCATCCTCTGCCATGTCTCTGTCAGGCCTGCGATGAGTTGTAACTGCTCCTTTGACCAAACCAGTGCTCAATTCACCCTGAAGAAGATCATATCTCTGGACCCTGGTCAAGTCCCCTGAATGAGGAGATCGCCACAGATCAGGTTCAGTTTCTCCCTATAGAATGACAGTCAGTGTGCTTGTCCTGCTTATGATCATTCACATTTCCTCTGAAAACAGTGCACAGAGACAGCTGCTCTCATGCAGATTAGTGCAGACGCAGGCTGTTTAGCCCACTTTCCTGTTTTTAGGTTTTCGTCTGTGATTATTTGAAGCTTGTGTTTCCCTGCTGGCTTACTCGCCTTTCCGCTCATACATTTTCTCCCTTCACCTCTCTCCATTTGTCTTCATCCCTCTCCTCACCCCTCTCAAAAGGTCACCAGCATCAGTGTTTGAATTCTCTGTCGCAAAGTCATTCATTTGACCTTGCCATCTGTCAGTACAGTGCTGTTCTCCTGGGTCAGCCACATGAAACTCATGTTATGGTTCCTGAGGTCAAAGGGCAAAATGGATATCCTTTCAAATTCTATTTACCCTAAAACCCAGGAGTTTGTTTGCATATATGTGTATGTGGGTCCTGTACCTCTAGCATGTGCCATTAGAGCCATATTGGGGTATCAAAGCTGCAGTGCTGCTAGGAATGATGAATGGCTGCCAGGTCCTGAGGTCCATGCGGTAATCACCTCAGGTAAGGGCTTTAAGCCGTGTTGGCGGGAGAACAGAAAGGGTTAAGTGGCTATGGCGGCTCATGGCTGTAGCCTCATAGCCTTCCATAGCCTCTGGCAGCTTATTTCCCAACATCTCCAAAGACCCATATGGATGAGGCTCAGAGCTTAGACAGCAAACGGCGAGGGATATGGAGACAATGCCTAATTTCCTCCAGACCAGAAGTGGGAGCGGTGAGGAGAGAGGGACTGGGTTTGCTGGCGCCTTGGCTCCCTCCCTCCTCACTCTCAGGCTGGCTTTCCAGGGGCAGCAGAGCCAACCCATGGAGCAGCCTGTCAGCCTATGTCAACATCAGTGCTGCCCCTTGCCCCTCTCCACTTCCCCCGTCCTGCAGCCCAGCACTCACAGAGGTTACACGAGCCCAGATTTAGTGTATGAATAACCTAGGGCCTGGGGAGGTGTCAAAGGTGTCTGAATCAGACCTCCCAGCAGCCCCACTCACCCCCACTAATCTCACCACAGTTCACCGACAAGTCATGTTTTGTAGAGGGAGTGGAGAGAGAGAGGAGAGAGAACACATAAAAGACACTGTTACATGCTGTCATCATCACGCCTGTTTCTAAAAGGCTTTTGGTCTCTAATGTGAGCAACTGCAGCACTCAATAGCCGCCGAGATCAATGGTATCCTGTCTAGTGCTGCCTCGTATCATCACAAAATGTTACTGTTGGTCTGATGGAAAGGAAAAATAAAAGAAAACTCTGAATCGCTCCCCATTCCTTCCTTCTGTGCCGAGTGCTTGCACCTGAGATAGTTTCCCTCCATTCACGTTATAGTTTGGCTGTAAAGTGAGGTGAGCCTCTGAGGCATCGCTGGGTGGAGGGTTGGGGGCGTCGAAGGTCAATCAGCTTTAGTGCTCAGGTTTCATGAGGCCAGTGGTTGTAAGAATGCACTGAACGTCAGGTGATTGGGTTTGTGTTAAGCTGCTCTCTTAGGGATGAATTCAAAGTATTTGTCAGTATGCTGATTTTAATGTTGTTTGGAGTAATCGTCTCTTTCAAGTTTTTCTTCTGAAATGAAAATTAGTCATCTATAAATACCCCTGCCCTTCCAAAACACACTGGGGTTTTGCTGTTATTGAGTTAGATGAAAATCAGTCACACTGCACCACGAAACACAAGCTTCTACATGGGCCGTATTCAGAGTGACACAGCATCTATAAATAGTCGTGCAAACACACTTTCTCTCATTGTCGCTCCCTCTTTTCCCTCTCTTTCTCCCACTCCGTCTCCTGCGTCGTCATGTGGCCAGACATGGGCTTGGTTCCCAGCAAATTCCATTTGCCGTCTAATTCCATATCAAAATCATGGTCAAAGCTCAGTGTTTATTGAGCGCGACACAAACAAGCAAGGACACAGCCTCAGCGTGGCTCCTCCCGCAACCTCATTATAGCTTTGCCCTCAAGTAACAGATTTTTGCTTAATTGGTGAGTTGTCCTAATTGACTTCAGCTAATTTATGGATTAGATTATTTGTACCCTTTTTTCTAATTGAACCATAACTTGCATGTGTTTCCCTGGCTGACTGGGTTGTAGGTAATTGGTGCCGAGTGCTGTCAGTTGTGCACTGCTGTGAGGGAGCTGTAGGTTTTGTATCCTCACGTTCATTTATGAATGTTTAGTGCATACGGAAAATGAATCCAATCAGGTGCTTCATTAAGTTTGTTGTTTGTTTTCAAACGTTTGCTGTAGATCTGAGTGTTGGAAACCTTTCACATGAAATGCAGCCATACGTTCAACTGTTAAGCGTTAGATATTTTGTTGTCCTCCAGTTGAATGTAGCTACTAGCAACTGCAGCCAGCGCCATGGAGAGTGCTCACACCAGAGTTCAGTGTAATGTTAACTGGACACATGAGGTGATGTTTATGCATATAAGCAGGACAACTATTGTAGTGCAGAGCTCAGGCACCGAAATGAAGCACTGAAAATCTGCTTTGTTATTCAGTCAACAACCTTTAAAAGCTGTGATCCTGACGATGGCTGACTACAGTGCTCATCAGCAACAGGGCATCTGTATCATCTGGGTCATGGTTGGCAGTCTGATGGCAGTTTCTTTTTTGTGAAGAGATTTATGAGCATACTGTACATCCCCACATTTTCCACTGAAGTCATGATCAGTGAAGTCTTTATTCCTGTAGGCAGTTTAGAGACAAACAAGTCCAAAAAGCTTCTTGGCTGCTATGAAATGTTAGTTTAACATACTTGCATGTAGATTTCTGTGCACAAACCTCTCCTTGAGTGCTCAAAACAAGCCTGAGGCTTGGTTGCTGCTGCTGTTCCATAAAACCACCTTTCTTTTGCTTGTTAATTATGTCTAAAAAACTGTCAAAAATATGCCACAGATTTTTTTGATCTAGTGTGAGAGGTTAAGTTGTAGGAGGCGTTGCATATATTATGTTTTCATTTATTGTGTGGGTAATTGTGCAACACAGATGTAGAATAATTAACCATGCAAAAATTAAAATACAGACCTTGTATTCTCAATAGTATCAAAGCACCACACAACACCACCACGTTCACATTATCGTTATGAAATGACTGCTGTATGCACCTTATGTTCATGTTTTCTTGACAAAGGCGTACTGATATCGGTGCTTCTGTTATAGAAAAATAACAGAACCACCGAACAAATGAATTTATTGATTTGTGAAAATAAAAATCAGGCTTTTACAGCATTCAGTAGTTATTTCATTTTGCCCAGTGTGCAGTCCAATTTATGATTGACAAATACTGTTATCTTCTCCATGGGAGAGTCAGGCTCTCCTGATAACCATTTCCTGGTAAGAGTCGTTTTACCAGATTCCATCAGCATTTTCATTCAGAATTGTATCTCTTTTCACCTATTGCTGAAATACTGTACATATAGATATGCCGTCTTAATTTCCATGGGCAATCTCATAAAAAATAAAGGGCATTTTTGTGGGTCTCTCTCGAATAGTCTCTGACGACAGGGGAATCTGAGTAGGCATGGTCATGTAACAGGAAGGTTGCTGTAACAGAACCAAACTCCCTCCGTGTCTGTGAGCTGGTACACTTCCATTGATAGCTACAATAGACAGCATATAAAGATGGATGACATGTCAGCAAGCGACGCGATCACCACCTGATGCCTGGCTGCAGTATAGGTCAGAAATCCCAACTCCTCCATGTTAGTCACAAAAGACAAAATACACCACAGACATTTTCAGAGCTGGTGTCATTTAAACTTTCTTATCCCACTGATGTTTGTTGAAGTGTTCATTTGTCCACGAAGCATTTTTAATGCTGTAAAAACGTCCATCACGACTTTATTACTGGAGAGTGGGGAGGAAGTAGAGACATGTTGTCCATCAGTTTCCATGTATGTGGATGAACAGTATTTCCTCTACAATGTTTCTCTTTGAGCAATATAAGATGATATTATAGTTCTTGTCTGTTCTGCAAAATAATAATCTTTCTGTTTTCGGTTAACTGGTTTATATATTCATTCTAATATATTCAATCTTTGAGGTGTGACTAAAGAATGGAATTAGGTCTAATCCTATTATGTCAATTATTTATGTAAAGGCACATCATTGTATTCTGATAAATGTAATGTTATTTAAGACTCTTATTGCCATTCGGAGGGATATCTGTTTTTTTAAACGTTTAGTTGGAGTAGTACTTGGACTAGAAGTAATGAGGACTTCTTGTATTGATCTGTACTGCTATGTTGTCTGATAATTGAACACATAATTGCAGCAGTCTAGGTAAAGAGGAGGTTGGTTCCTCTAGATATGAAATTAAGAAATGTCAACTGCGACCAATTTGTCCCTGTTATAATAATTCCTCAGATATCTTCATGAATTCTAATGCACCTAACAAGTGGCTCTGAGTATAATGTGAAGAATAGTATGCACAACCCTGTCTTATTCCCCTTTCAAATTTAAAACATTTTGAAGTATCCATGTATTTGAATCCTTGTCAAGTAGTGCCTGTGTCATTTTAATAATTATGTAAAACAAATAAAAAAGGTTAACTTATTTGACTTGGTTGGTCAAAGGTCAAAGTCCCGCTGGCCTCACAAAAAGCCTCTTGGCCTCTTGAATGTGATATCTCAAGTCGGCCTTTAGAAGGATTTTTCAAAGTTTGGAAACGCTTTTGAGCTGTTGTGGAAAAATAACAAGATCATGACGCGGTGATTACGAGCAGACCTCCGAGTCTACATGACATTTACATATAATCTATATGACATAAGTCTCCCCTTTACATCAGAAGACCTTCTATTTCTGTTAGCACGCTATTTGTAATTTTCTGTGAGGAAATATTATTATTACAAACGTCCTGGGGGTGCATACATACATTCAATAGTAACTAAATTCTTCCCTCTTTATTGCCCTTTTTCAAAATGTAGCTTGTTTGAAATGAGAGTAGCAACTCCTCTCTTAGGTCTTCATTTACAAGGAAAGAAATCGATTGTTGAAACTCATTCTCTCCCCAGTTTTTCATGCTCTTTATCATTTAAGACTTTCCCGTGGATATACTACAGGGGCTTCTTCTTTCTTTAATTTGGAGGAATTTTTTTGACTACGTTTTGATTGGATTCAACAGCCCATTAACCTGAAATGAATTGAATTTAACTTTATCACTGGTAATGTGTTATAATCTGTCAGTGTATCCTTAAAGTTTGTGAAATAAAACTTGGGCGATGCCCCGTGAACAAGCAAGAACAAAGACACTGAGATGAGGAGACGTGAATCTAAGGCTGAGGTCTCCAGTTGATAACCCAGGGCCTGATTGAGGACAAGGCTGTGGGGGGGGGAAGCCTCTCCTAGCTAAAGCACCTAAAAGAAATTAAACAGAGACAAACTCTCTGTCTCTGTATTCCTGCCATGTTTTCTCATTTAAATTGGGAAAAAAGGGTGAATATAAAAATGTAGGGATGTATGTAATGTGTACTTCCCTGACTCAGGTCCCATCCATCCTCAATGTTTTGTGGAAATCTGTTCAGTAGTTTTTGTATCATCAAAAATAAAAGAACATATATGTTACAATAAATATTTCAGAATATAGCACGTCTACTTTTACTTTTGAAGTTCATCCAAACTCTTCTGAAAGCTCACAGTTTCTACCTGATATTCTGATCTAGTTCTTTTGACCTCTCCTGCTGTCTCAGTCCTCCCACTGTTTCCTTGGCCGAGGGATAGCTGCTCAGACAGGCCCTCCCTCTGTGTGACCATGCTGATGGGCAGTCCTCTCTGCTCCATGTTTGTAGTCACCTCCTGCCTGCAGTGTCTGGCAGAGTCTGCTCCTGATAGAACACTCATTGTTTAAAGGGGAACATGTGAAAACGTATCCGAATATTCCTTACACTTCCTCAGCACTGCTGTGGAGTTATCTTCAAATTATATCAACCACTCACTAAAAACCACCTTCTTCTTCCCCCAGGCCCTGCACATAATCTCTTCTCTGCCTTAATATTGGAGGAATTTGAGTATTATTGACCATATCTTGTCTTTCGTGTTCTCTGAGGGCCTGGGGTTGAACCTCATGGTGTGCCCACTCAATGTCAATCTCCGTAGTCAGGGGATTCTCTTGCATGAGCTCTGCTCCTTGATGAAATGTATCTGAATTCACCTCTTTCTTTCCTTGTTTTTCAGCACTTCTCTCATCACCTTTTAATGTTTTGAAAGTGATATTACGTCTTTTGAGTCTCTGTCTCCTCTGTTATTTGGGGAGCTCAGATTTAATATCTGTCACTTTT